TGCCTGCGGAGGAGGAGGGGCAGCACCGCCCTTCTTAGGAGCCGGGGGAGGTGGAGGACGCCCCTGGGGGTCCCTCGCTTCAATATCAATGTCCCTTGCCTGCGGAGGAGGAGGGGCAGCACCGCCCTTCTTAGGAGCCGGGGGAGGTGGAGGACGCCCCTGGGGGTCCCTCGTCCCAATATCAACGTCCCTTGCCTGCGGAGGAGGAGGGGCAGCACCGCCCTTCTCAGGAGCCGGGGGAGGTGGAGGAGGCGCGCTCGCTGGGCCACGAGCCTCGAGGGCGAGAGGTTCACCCTGATTGGAAAGTTAACGTCAGTATGTCTGGAATCATGGGGCCACTCGAGTTATTTCTTGTTGGGGTGGTCAGTGGCTTACTCCATTAATGGCGGCAGGGGCGGCGTAGGCTCCCAGAGCCAGCACGGAAATGATGTAGGCCGTCAGCTTCATGGTGGCTGATTATAAGAGTCGTATAGTTATTTAAGGTCTGTCCTGCAGAGGGCGTTGCTTGTAGAGTATCAAACTCGGAGAGAAGAAGAAGAAGACGAAGATGATGAAATGTGAAAAGGAAGATTAGTTGTTGGATGGATGGAGAGATGATGCCTTCAACATCAACTTCCGACCTCATCGCGCCTGCCAGGCCTTCTTATACTTTGACGACCTGATCAATCCGCCCTTGACTTGCTGATTCTTGAATGCATTCTGTCATGGCTCACTCGGCCGAGATTTCATGGCCACGCAATAACGGCCGCCGAAACCACGCGCTCGCCCGACTGAATCAATCATGATACCGTCTCGCAACACCAGGTACGAGGTCTAACATGCCTTCGGTATGAATTGCCATCTGCTATTCGTCCACAAGGCGAAGCACTTGTCTTCCAAGTTCACGAGCCGTGCGGTGACAGCCCTCGTCCGACATAGCTATGGTTTCGACAACGTAAGCTCCGCCAGTCCACAGAGTTCGAGTTGTCACGGCCCAACCCTGTCAACTTGGGTATTGCCCAGGTGACATGCACCAGAGACGGGAAGTCGCCATAAACAACAAGGCTGATGCTTTGCTGCCGTGGACATGCAGAGACGTCGAAGCCCCCAGGCAAGAACCGGAGTAAAGCCGCCCGCCTATTTACCGAAGTGGGCGGTCTCGGGGTGCTTCAAGATTCGGTCGCTAAGCATCAGATGCGCTGGAATTCACCATCGATGTGGAGAGTAAGGCACGGACCATGCGCGGTTATATCGTCGGTGAGACCTCTCTTAGGTGTAGGACGTTTGACAATAGCGGAAGGCATGTGGGCGGGCTGACGCGGCCGTAGACACAGGCCTGGGCATCAAAGATGTTCGCGAAAGTTCTAGAATAATTATGCTGACTTGAAGGCCGGTAATTAGGCAAGTCATCTACCTGCAGTAAGAAGTCAAGGTTTCACGTCCTGGTTACGCCAGTTTCAGACGACGGGTATTTTTATAAAGATGGGATGACGGCTGAGAAGCTGCCGCCCGCGGCGTCGTCTCAAGTAGCTCCAAGTCGGATGACCCGAGTGGGAACGTTATTGTGTGTAAATCTTTCGCCATAATGACTTCGTGAACTTGTGGTATGGCTGTGTTGCCAAGCTTGCAGTCGGCCTGAAGATTCGAAGCTCGAAATTCGACGAGCCCATCATCTTCGCCTATGTGTCGTTTATCTTTCGCGAACACGTAGGTTTCTACACGACTTGTTCGTGGCGATGCTAGTCTGATTGCAAGAACCAGCACTCTATCGAACTCCAAGCCTCGCAACATCTGCTCTCGTGCTGGGAATGAGACTATGGGGGCCTGCAACATAATCCAGGAGCAACAAAAGGCCGCGAGATCGCTACACCCCAACCAAAGCCCGCTCAATTTGGAACTGACAGCAACTCGGGCTTTATTTCCTGCAAAGCACCCCTGACTGTAGCTAGAACTTGTCCGTGCAGATTGCTCGGTGCAGCGATAATGCCGTAGTTTGCAACCATTTGTCTCCCTGCATTCCAGTCGAGGTCCTTTCCGTCAACATCCGTGATTTTACCTCCTACTTCTTCAAATAGGAGCATAGCACCAACATGATCCCAGATCTTCGCAAGCCTTGATCTTGATTTGTATACCCAGAACGTCGTGTTACCGACATTCAGCGCAAGGAGCACATACCGCATCACCCACGGTAGGAGGGTGCTTCCCGGGTACTCAATACCAAGCTGCCTGGCTGCAGACTCGTGGACTGCTGGCAAACCGCTCGTATTGAGGCAAGTTACAGATCGCAGGTCCGATGCGTGCTCTGCGTGCCTGGGCAGGCGCCTTACGGCTGCACTGTGATACGAGCCGGGGAGCTTTCGGATGAACGCGCCATGGCCTCGTACGGCGAACGCGATACTGCCCTCCTGTGAAGGATCCAACGAGTTGTCTGAAGCTGGAGACTTGATGTCCATCGACAGGTTAGGGCATCCCACAGCGGACAGCACCTGCCTGCCGTCTTCCAGCAAGCCGACATTTATAGCGTAGACCAAGTTCTTGACAAAGTTTTCGGTGCCGTCGATAGGGTCGAAAACCCATATCCTGCCCCCAACATCGGGCGTTCCCGTGCCGCACCAGTCGATCATCTCGCACATCTGGTCAGGCGAGCTTGGAAATCTCACCAAGGACTCGGCCTCATCCTGCAACTGATTCTGAGTGTGCTGCAGGGCAGCCTGTACACGGTCTAGCAAGGCAGGGTTGGCCCTAAGTTGGCCGGCCGACTCCTCGCCGACGAACCTGTCACCAGGGAAGTGGGCGTGCAACGTGCTGGTGAGCAGAGCTTGGACAGCGAAATCTGCGATAGTGACAGGACTCAAATCGTCCTTGGAGACAACACCCAAGTCGTGATTGTCATCTTTCTGAGCCTGGGACAGGACAAACTGGCTGAGCTTTGCGGCTTGCTGGATGACCTCGAAAGCGATCTTCAACTCGTTGGAGTAGGGTGAATCCATGGCGTGGATGTCAGGCTAGCTTGTCGTGACTACCTGTTGCAAAAAGATCGGGGATATATCTTTGGTGATAACTGCCCTCAAGAGGAATGGAAAACTAGGAGAAAAACAGCGGAGTCAAGAGAGCACCATGAGAACCTTTGGGAAGGAGGTGACGTTTTCGTACCCGAACCCTGCCCGAGTATGATTCAAACTGTGACCAAGTCACCCTCCCTCACACCAATGCACCAACAGCAGCGCCAAAAAGAAACCAACTCTGACTGACTGACTGACTGACTGACTGACTGACTGACTGACTGATTCACCGTCACCACAACTTACACGTACAGAGGGGAGGAGACAATATGGAAAACAGCCTGAGACGCCTTCATCTCGAAGCTAAATACCTCATAACCACAAGAACACCGTGGTAGCCGAGTAATGTCACGACCATGACACCGTGGGGATTTAGTCCACCTAGATGCGTTAGGGCTGCTCTCGAAAACGGTCTCTTGGGTGGTCTTTTCAGCATTCCTGGAAAATAGGTCTGATCTTGGAGAAGATGGGACCAAACGCTTTTCAACTTAGAGCCATATCTGTGTCCGTTGTTCATCGTCGTCCGTCGGAAAGGTGGAGTGAACTGAGATCGGTACTCGACTTTTGACCCCAACTCCTTTTCAACCAGAAATGCCCAATGTGCGTAGCACCAGCCGAGCGGCACCCCTCAGTCATCGCCGGCTGATCCGGCCGGCCCTCCACCGGAACGAGGTCCCCTCGTTCCAGGAGCTGCTCGGCGTTGGCGTATTTATTTCGCCTGGAAGCAAAAGGACAACAACACCTGAGCGTTCAACAGGCACCGCTGCGACAGCCTGCTCTCTCGTTGATCATGACTCCGCACTCGATCGCAGTTGGTCTCGCCCTGCTTGCCGGCTTGACTCTTCTGTATACCCTCCTAGTGGCCCTGTTCTCGCCTCTTCGCAAGGTGCCAGGCCCTCTCTCAGCCCGGTTCACTAACCTGTTCTATCTCAACCGTGTCCGCCAGGGCCGCTTCCACTACGAGAACAGTGTTTTGCACCGCAAGTACGGGCCGCTCCTGCGGCTCGGCGAGAACCTTGTGAGCATTGATGACCCAAGTGCTGTAAAGACCATATACGGCAGTAAGTAAATGAGGCAGATGGTCCTCTTCTCTCGTGGATGCTTCCGAGGGCTGTATTGAGGATGTAGACGGGCCTTCAGAGACCATATGCAGTCCCCTCCCTCACGTCTATTCGTGTCTTTGCGAAACAAGATGAAGTCAAGTCGCTGATAGAAATCTAAAGTCGGCTCCAAGTTCCCTAAGAGCAACTGGTACAACGCTTGGAGGGCCCCTGGGCCGGAGAACTTCACCCTCTTCTCCGACCAGAACATAGCCCGCCATGCCGACACTCGCAAACGCTTCCAGAATCTATACAGTATGACCTCTTTAGTGTCTTATGAGACCTTTGTGGACGAGTGCGCGGACGTATTCGCCCAGAGGCTGCATGAGATGTCAGGCACCGGAACATGCATCAACATGGGGCACTGGTTTCAGTGCTATGCCTTTGATGTGATTGCTTGCATCACCTACGGCAGCCGCTTCGGTTTCCTCGATCGCGGCCACGACATCCGGGGCATGATGAGTGACCTCCACGCTGTTCTACGGTACTCCACCTTGGTCGGCATCGTTCCATGGCTGCATGACTGGATCTTTTACCCGGCTAGCAAACTGCAGCTGTTCGGTGCCAAGGGTCGCGTGACGACGATGGATTTTGTCAAGCGTCGAATGGCCATCCGAGATGGTGAGAGGCAACTGAGGGACCCTAGCGACAAGGCAAAGGCCCAAACGGAAGGGGTGACACGGGATTTTCTGGACCGACTTCTTGATCAGCATGATGAAAACCCCGAGAAGACGACAATGTATCATGTATTCGTCGTGGGCCTGGCCAACATCAACGCGGGCTCAGACACGACGGCGACGACTCTGTCCGGGATCCTCTACTACCTATTGAAGACCCCACGAGTGTTGGCCAAGCTGAAGGAAGAGATTGAGGAATTTACTGCCAATGGGCAGCTTTCAGCGCACCCGACATTCAAGGAGACCCAGCGCATGTCCTATCTCGATGCAGTGGTCAAGGAAGCTTTGCGATTACATGCAGCCGTGGGCCTTCCACTCTGGCGCGTCGTCCCGGAAGGCGGAGCGGAGATCGCGGGACAGTACCTCCCCGCTGGCACCAATGTTGGCATCAATGCTTGGGTCGCTGTAAGTTACTGTCACGTATTACGTCTCAAGGCCAACGCCTCCTGTGTCAGACTTGGTCCGAGTAGAAGCTAATATGTGTTGTCAAGCATTTCAACGAAAACGTCTGGGGACAAGACGCCAAGCAGTTCCGTCCAGAACGCTGGCTCGAGGCTCAAGCAGAGGCGCAAGCTGGAGACAAATACCGCTTGCAGCGGATGGAGGCGTACTACAGTAAGTTGCCCATCAACCCGTTTGATGTAGTCTAGAGACCCGCTAATCTTTTGGCAAAAGTTCCTTTTGGGTTCGGCTCGAGGTCTTGTGTCGGTAAACATATCAGCATCCTGGAAATATCGAAGCTGATGCCCAGGCTCTTGAGAGATTTTGACTTTGAGCTGGAGAAGCCCACTGAAGACTGGGATTGTGAGGACTTTTGGTTCGTCATACCGAAGGGATTCTCTGTTCGCGTCAAGAGGGCAAATGGCAATTTTTAAATCCAAGGTACACGACTCGTGTACGGAAAGACATGCTCTGCTCGAATACGTTTGTCACATGTATGAAGAAGGCCTTATTTCAAGATGTTTCAAATGCCTCTCCGGCGCAGAGTGTTGCTTGGGAGAGATCTGGTCTTGCTAGCAGCCACCGCACGTGCCCACATGCCTTTCGTTACGGTTTGCCTCTTCGCCTTTTCAGGCGGCTGCCAACTATGTTGCGCGCTGTACACCCATGCAGAACATTAACGACGCCGCACGGAGGAAGACATGCCTGTGAGCTACTTCGAAAGGCCCCAAGGACGGCAGTCAATCGAGCATCGGATATCATAGTGCTGAGACCGTCTACCTCTGCAACGTGACAGAGAATTAATTGTACGTTGATAGCTCTGTACGGGCGTATGTACAAGCAGCCCCTTGTAAATGTTGCGCCCCGCCAAATAGACCTAGGCTTTCTACCAAACGCCATTTTAATGCATTGAATGCTGGTCCTCAACCGTGAAAGCTGCCTGACACGCGCTCTCATCAACGCCCTGGAGGCACGTCTACCTCCTAAACTTGTGGCACAGTCTCCTCCTCCTCATCGGCATTCTATACCATGAAGGATTCGCCGCAACCGCATTGCTCCTCTGGAAGGCGGACTGGTTAGCGCCGTGATACTGCGATACCAGGAATCAAATCAGGCAGAGAATGCTACTCACTGATATTGGGGTTGCGGAAGACGAATCTCTGGTTCAACTTGTCCTCGACCCAGTCCATCTCGCTGCCGATGATACTGAACAGTGCCTTGCTATCGATGAGGACCTTGACACCATCCTGCTCCACGGTCTCGTCGAAAGCGCCCGGCTTGTCGATGTACTCCAGGTGGTAGGCCAGCCCGCTGCAGCCCCTGTTGCGCACGCCAACCTTGATCAGCTTGGGATCAGGCTGGTCAAGCAGTGCGCGCAAATGGTCCACGGCGGCGGGGGTCAGCTTCAGGGCTGCCTTACGCGGCGCACGAAGCTTGGAGCGGGGTCTTGGCTTGGGCGTATGAGTGTCGGTGGGCGGCGCTGGTGCGGTGGTCGCAGACTTTGGGGGCTCGCTCTGGGACGCCGGCTCTGATTGCGGCGATGCAGGTGTCGATGTCTGTGGGCGTGCGAACTCGGGCTGGGATTTCTGGGCTTCCTCCTCGCGTACCGACGTCCAGCTGTTGGCGCCCAGCGACGTAGGCGGCCGCGTCTCGTGGACTCTGGGTAGGTTCGGGGAGATGGGATGGGTGATGGAAGTATCCGGGCCGCCTGTGCTGCGCGGTGGCGACGGCGGTTGAGGGTTGAGGCGGTAGGGCTGGAACTCTGGGAAGGCGAGGCGTTGCGCTGAGGAGAACTGGCGCAGTAGGGAGCGTCTGCACGAGAGGCAGATGGAGGAGGCGGTCCTCCGTGCGATGATGGGCGCGTTCATCGTCTGTGTGATGGCGCCGAGGGGCGTCGAGGGTCGAAAGGAGAATCGGGACGATGCGGGGCGATGCGGGCGATGCTGGGCGGAAAGCAAGCAAAAGGTGATGCAAGAGGGAGATTGATTCACACGTATGTACAGTATTGTCTGTTCTGGCTTCGGCAGGTTACGGCATGTAGGGTGCTGTGTTGGTTGGGCCAACAGAAAGAGAGACGTGCCCACGAGGTTCGGTCCGGGCTGGCTGACTGATGTCAAATGAGCCGATTTCAAAGAAAGCTGGGCCGATGACATCTTGCCGACCGCCCAGCACCGTTTCTTCCCGGGAGCCAATCACGTAAATGCTATAGTAATACTTACCGGGAGGGTGGCGACCACTCTAGGCCCGGCCCCCACTGCAGCAGGTCGTTCATACTGTAGTATGGTATACTGGTTTAAATAAGTTGAATTGTTGAACACATTGCCATGCAGTGCTACACGCCCTCTCCTGCAAATGGTTTCGACTTGCTTGCACTCACTGTGACGCATCCCAGTCGTGTCACACGGTCTATTTACCCCTATAATGCTCTGTCAATGTACAAAGGCAAACAAAGGCCCTCATCGGGGCGTCGTACACGGGAGGTTGCATGAAGCAAAGGCAAGTTTCTACGTGCACAAAGCATCTTTTGAGACTGCGCGAGCTCAACTCAGTGGCCGTGGCTGCTCAAGTCGCACTTCTGTTAACCTGCGCGGGCCCAAGCCTTTTCTTTTTTTCAGAACCCATCGCTACTATCAATTGCTCGACCTGGCCCATCATCACCACTCTCACCCAGCTACCATGGTCCTGACATCACCAACCGCGAACCTCGCCACCTTCTTCAAGAGTGTTCTCTCGTCTGCCTCCCTGTACCTCTCCCAAGAATCCAGTCCCTCCTTGGCCTGTATGCTGAGCGTCTCGTACCCCTGCTTGATCACCTCTGCCACCTGCAGGCTTGTTAGCACTCCTCCCGCGCCAGCCTTACTCCCCTTCCCGCCCTTTGCTCCGCCGTCGGCTAGTAGCGACTTGTAGTGCGCAGAGACACTGATGAGCGTCTCGATGCTGTTTGTTGGTCGGTTGGCAAGCCCATACGTGTCGCGGAACTTGACTAGCACGTCGCCCGCCTCGACCACCTTGTAGAACAGGTCGTCGTACGCCGCCGGTGTGGGAAGGAAGGCCTCACCCGCCGACAGCCCTAGCGCAAGGAGGTTGACGACGTGGTCCAGCAGCACGTCAATGTGCGACAGGTCCCTCAGGTCAGCCGCATACGTCGTCAGGAACTTGATCAGTGACAGCAGGGAGCGGAACAGCTCCGACCAGTGGTACGACAGGCGCGTGCGGGACCGCGACATGTAGCTGATGATTCGGAGGAGGATCCCCACGCAAAGCGTGTACAGGTTGACATCCAGCCGACGCTTGAGGTTGTGATTGATGCCGTCGATCATGGTGTCGATGACGGCCATCGCGACGGTGCGTTCGCCGCGGACCAACGGGAGGTAGGGCTGTCTCTGCCGGCAGAGCCTTACAGGCACCTTGTTTCCTTCGCTGCACATTCGCTTACATAGAACGGGGTCCTCGATCAGCAGGCGGAAGACCATCAAATTGAGATGGGAATAAAGTGTTGCCCGTGTGGAAAGGTGGGCGTGGGTGAGTAAGTACGACGTGAGGGAAACATAGCTCGCGAACGGCTGTTCGTCGCCCTTCTCAGGAGCGAGCGTAACGAGGTTGAAACAGAAGAGCTTGTTGGCATGTGCGAAATCGTATGTCGCTAGCAGCACGGCAGCCTCGTTCCCTGGTCTGTTGTGCCTCCTTGTCAGCCGTGTCACACTCACACTCTGCTACAAATGCTCAAAAGCACCTACAGCTCGACAAACATTTGTTTTGCCGTTTCGGCGTCGTATGCCGGCTTCTTGTCTGTCTTCGCACCGGGTGCTATTGCCCCTAGCCCGATCATGGTCAACGTGTTGGTCAAAGTCCACGCTTCTGGGAGGTCCTCCTGAACGTCCACGAATTGGTCCCTCAAGCCCTGGCAGGTGTAGCCGACACTCCTCATGACCTTCTGAATCGTGTCCTCGTTTACAAAGTCGTTCAATCGTAACTGATACGGATTTTGGAACTCGAACTTGTTGTAGTTGGCCAGGAGGCCGATCAGCGTGAAAGGGTTGAAAATCTGTGTAGAAGAGCTGGCGTCCTGGATCAACTATTGAGAGGTCAGCATTAACCCGGCGTCATCGTCACGATCGTTGCACGGGGGCAGCTTTACCTTCATCACGGATGGGAACATGTCTCTTTGTATCAGGTACGTCAGCAGGCTGGTCTGGTACGCTCCCGAGGTCACAGCGAGAGCCACTTCAATGGCCTTCTGCCGCAGTCCCACTGCTGAGCTCGTGTCAGTCTCGGATTTCGATGCGCCATGGGTCGATTGTTGGCCCAGGGCAACGTACTTGTCTTGCCATTTCTTATTATGTAATCCAAGGACCCTACGAAGTCGGTGAATACCGCATCGACGTGATCGAGGCCAGCGAGTACCGTTATGATATCTGAGCTGGGGTTGGTGTATTTCTTGGATAGCACGGCCGATAGGAAGATGCTGAGCGTCTGTTCGTCCCGAGGTCAGCTAACTGAAGTGACCAGACCACGCACATGCCGGGTAGGATCGGGCAGTCGTACGTCGAGCGCATGTAGGTCGGCCGTCCCGGGGGCATCGCTCCTGAGAGCCTTGACAGATCTTGAGAAGAGCTCCCTTGTCTGTTCCTCCAAGTGCAGCAGGTCGGCGGGGGATAGCTGGTCAAGTATGCGCCTCAGGGACGGGCGGTCGGGCTTAAGGAGGAAGAACTCGCGCCAGAAGCCCTCCGAATGCTGGCCGTTGTGGTCTGCGGCATCTTGTTCGTCCTTTTGCGCATCAGCCGGCTGGATGGTTGACGGGTGGGATGGGGTGTCTGTCTTCAAACCTTTTATCACATGCAATAGACGTCAGTGGGTTGGTCACACGGCGGGACCGACGGGAAGCCAGGGAAGACTGCGCAAACCTTGAATAGCTCAACGTATAGCTGGACAACCTTTTGCTGGAAGGCCTCGGGGCGAGGCTGCTGGGTGAGAGGGGACTTGTCCATGTACGGCAGGGCAGCGCAGAGGGCAGATCTGCTTCGTCTGGTCTCGCTCGTCTGGACTGGACTGGGACTGGGACTTGCTCGGCTCACCCTTTTGTTGAGATTGCCGGGTCGAGTTCGCGTTCGAGTTCGAGTTCGCGGTAGGGTCCTAGGATTACTGCTATTGGCATCCGCAATTGGGCATGGGACAGTTCGAGTCGGAAGTTTGCTGGGTCTTTGGGAGTGTAGGTCTTTGTCCGTCACCGAGGGGCTCGCCCGTTGATTCAGATCCCCTTTGGCTGCGTGTACCTTAGCTTACCTAGGCACCTAGTCCCGGACCCTGGCGGCTGGCCGGGTGGGAGAGAGATAGCGATCTTCGGCTTGGAACTTGGGTACCTGGGTACCTAGGTATCTATCTACCCAGGTAGGCAGCCAGGTGGGGGAATTGGACAGTAGGACCCAGCGCAGCTGGCCGTTGAACCCTGATCTCCAACAGCCGCTTAGCCGCGTGCTGGGGGCGCCATAGGGCTGACGAGTCCCTCCCTCCCTTCGGTACCCAGGTAGGCAGGTATCTACGCAGGTACGGAGAGATGCTTACAACGGTCAGGCCCTCAAGCTGGCGAGGCCGGAGCCAGACTGACCTATGCAGTTTTATCATTTCTGAACTGTCTCTGTCCGCCTGTAGGATGAACAAAGAATGTCCCTGGTGGACCACTCGGTGAGCATCACGAGGTGGTGGCTGTATAAAACGACCTTTTCGATCGAGTCTTCATTCAGACTGCATCTCTAGAAACCAAATATCCCCCGCTATGCCTGTACCTATGCCTGTGCCCGTGCCTGTGCCTGAGCCGTCTGCCATACTAGCCAGGCCGATGCTGCAAATTGCGAAAGCTGCAGAATAAACTACGCCTCCCTCGTCACAAGTCGGCTCAAGCCTCCTCGTTCGCTTCTATCTCTTTCGCATCCCCTGTTCCACCATAACTCCTTCAACTCCAGCCTGTCTAATATACCGCTCATCTCAACGCGAAGCTCAGCCCGTGGCCTGCCCTGTGGCCTGCCAGGACATTATGAGTGCTACGGGATACTCTCAGATCCCCCAGCTGCCCCTCCTCTGCACCACACCCCACGCCAAGGGTGTGATGCTGTCTAGGTCGGGGTGCTGCCTGGCCCACTCGAAGATGTACTTCTTCAGCGCCCTCCACCGCGGGCAGCGCCTGTCTTCTTTCATGTCTAGGTCCATGCTGATCTTGAGATGTCCCTTGGCCCTGCTGCCGATCCCGTCCATGACGGTGTCATCCTCCTGCTCGAGCTCTTCGGTTGGGATCTGACTGATCTTGGACAGCTCCTCATCGTACGCCCGCGCCGTCGCCGGGTACCCTAGACTTAGGTAGTTGTACACCTGCGTAACGAACACGTCGTTAAACTCGGACGCTATACGCTCCTCGAGGTCCGCCGCCACCACCTCCTTCTGCAAACGCTGCTCCAGGCCCATCAGCATGTGTAGGCCCTTGGGCTCGCCAGCTCGGGAGCGGTGTTCTGAGGTGGCCAAAGGCGCCGAAGCTTGCCCAGACGACACGGGTGTCGGCTCGGCAGATATAGGAAAGGGCGCCAGCGTCCCGTTCGTGGCGGCATAAGGATCACTGTGCTCGTATGGCGTCTGCGGCGTCATGGGTGTCATGATCATGGCTGGGCGGGGCGAGGGGGCCAATGCCTCGCCCCCCTTGTTCTGCGTGAAGCAGTAGCCCCTCCAGAGCCCATGCTGGCCTGTGGTGTCCCGATTTGGCTCAACATGGCCACCAAGGGCGGTGTCCCACTTCTGCTCTGGGTCAAGCTTGGTCTGTTTGGGAGACGGACACATCCGGAAGGTCAGATCCTTGCCGGCCATTGGGGGGCTCTGCCGTGCCCTCATGCGGAACAGTTCCTTCTCGGCTGCCTTGTCATGTACTTGGTTCTGGTAGCCATAGAAGCGGCCAAAAGCACCACGGGTGCGAGCAAAGCCAGTCTCTGGGGGGATCTGGGAGGCCGGAGCAGCAGCGGGCCGCGCCGGCGGTGCGTCGGGCATGTCCACGTCGGCTGCTTTGGCCGGTGGTGCGGATGGCACGTAAGGCATAGTTGACTCGCCAATCGTTCGCGCGGGGGCCTGAGCATCGTACGATGCGCCAGGGCCAAAGTAGGAGGGCTCAGCCGACTTGCTGGGGTGCGAGCCCAAGGGGTCTGCGAGCTCGCCTATGGGGCTCAGGGGCCCTATCGAGCCGCGCATGGTATGGCGAGCATTGTTGGTGAAGGCGAATGTGTTGTCCGGTGGGCCATCGCTTCTTGCGGAGGCGGACTCAAGCTCATCAAAGTCGTTGCCTCCACTCCCGCCGGCAGCTCTCTCTGCAGCCAACTGACCCGCATGTTTCTGCATCTCCTTGACCATCCAGTTGACGTTGTCCTCGGAGGAATCTCTCCGCGACTCCTGCTTATCCCCCGCGACGCGCGCCTTAGGCCTGCCCCGAGGGACATCGTCGTCGTCCTCTGACCCCTCGCGCAGGAAGAAATGCTCGGCGCCACCCAGTCTTACCGTGCTGTTTGGGAACGCAGACATGGCCTCCTCCAGGCGCATCTGCGCATCCAGCTTGTTCAGATCAAAGACATGGTCGGCAATCTCGTCGTCGCACGACTCCCTCCTGGCGTGACCGGGTCGCCGATTGTGCTTCTTCTTGGAGGTAAGAGAATAGATGTGTTTCGCGTAGGGGGTGATGTCGGTCTTGTCGGCGGGCTTGGTGGCAGGGCCGACGTCGCCGGCCCTGCGTGATCGTCGGCTGGACTCGAGGAGCTGCGGGGCAAAGCGGCGCTTCTCCCGGTTGACGGTCTGGGTCTCGTGGCTGGTGACCTGGGCGGGCACCGGAGGCGGAGACGCGCAGGCGGAGGTCGGCGAGGGCTCAGGAGTGGGCTCGGCGGCCGGGCCGCCTCTGCGGTGCTCCTTGAAGGTGGTCTCGATTGGCACAGGAGCAAAACGCCTGCGCGACTGCGTTGGTTGCGTCATGCTGGGTTGTATGCCACAGAAAGGGCCAAATACGGTGGGGTAAAGCAGCGGGCGAGAGCTGTGTATGCAGAGATGACAACGGAGGAGAAGATATGAAGGGAAATTGGGTTGAGATTGCGGGAGATGATGAGTCAAGGCAAGGTCGTCCGTGAAGCGATCGTGGATGGAGTCGGCGAGGGCCCCTGTCCGTCCCGGGGAGTACTCGTGTGCTCGGCCTGTGCCTGTGCCTGTGCCTGTGCCTATGCCGGTGATTGTGGCTGTGGCTGTACACGATACTTGCTGATGTTGGATGATGGCGCGGCAGCTTCCACGAGGCTTGCCCTATATCCAGGTGTCGAAGTGGTGAGACTCTGACATGTAGGTGTGTGGTTCCATAGGGAGGCGGCCCAGCAGACAGTCGCCAAAGCCACGAAAGACGGGAGTGTTGTTGTGGTCCCGGCTCTGGTCTCTTCTGATGGAGGAGCAGGGGAGTAGGGGATCACAGGAGCAGAGGAGCAGCAGCAATAGAGGAGCGCGGAAAGGGCGGTCACGAGAGAGGGGGAAGGGGTGGGAGAAAGCTTGAGGCAATGGGGGAAGGATGGGAGTGTGCAGTACACGATGAGGCCGCTGCTGGCTGCCCTTCCCACTTCACTCCTCACGAGAACCTGGGTCAACATGTACATGTATACCGTACCGTACCGTGCCCTACCGTCCTGTTATTATGGCATGGGCGTGGCATGGCATGGCATGGCATGGCAGAGGCATGGCCCATGGGCAGGCCTGGCCTGGCTTGCTGGGCCTCACCCTGGCCGATTCATTCACTCACGCTCAAAGGAAAAAGTGGGATGGGCTGCATTAGCAAGGATGGCCGGGACAGTGCATCATGACGGTGCGAAGCCGGCCCTGCTTTGTGTGCGGGCTGTGAGTTCCCACCATTCTCGGCAGAGCGCAAGCCACCTGCTGCTGCACGCCGTCTCAATAGTCGAGCCGTTGACGCCTCGTCGACGCCTCTAGGCTCGTCTTGTCCGTCCTGTCCGTCCTGCTCGTCCATCAACGCCCGCTCGTCCGTCCGCTGTGTGTCAATGGGCTAGGTTGAGGACAAAGGGCGGCCAGCCAGCCAGTCTACTCTATCACATGGAGGCACAACACATGCGGCTGCTGTTGAGAAGGCCATCATCTCCAGGACTCAATCCAAGAGGAACCTCGGGATCAAGCAATCAATTAATCAATCGATCAGTCAATCAAACAGCAGCGCAGGGGACGATTGAACCAATGAACCCCCCCACTAGCCGATCATGCCGACGTGCTGTAACAGTACTACCGATGGTTGCAACCACATTTGACTCTCCCAACGATTCCACAGGATGCTTTTTGCATCAGGGCCGCGGCTCACCATTTTCTTGGGTGCCAGCGCAGTTTGTCCGATATGCCTTGAGCCTGACATCATCAACAAGCACCCGCAAACTCTGTTTTCTGCCGCCTGCCTGTTGCAATGTCATGTCAACTCCTGTCATGGCGTGCCATTATCGTGTGAGCACCGACAATCGAGGACCAACTCCTTTCATGCCGGCTCCTGACACCATGGAGACACGAGTCTGTTGCCAATCTCGGACGTCCTCCGAAGCGACACACGCAGCCTGTCAGTCATGGCTACCTGATAGAAACATCGTGAAGACGGCAAGCCGACTTGACCAAAGGCAGGGAGGGTGAGCAGTATTTTTTTTTTTGTTTTGGCCACAAGCACCAGACACGTTCTCGTATATGCCTCGCTCCCACCACGGCCCCAAGGGGGCTTGCCTCGTGTGCGAGTCACCATGTACTCCGTTCCGAGGTTGTCAGATGGAGAAGAAACAAACAGAGGGCACGCCGGCACTCAGCCTGTCCGGCCTGTCAGCTCGTCCCGCGGTGCATGGACCACTGGATCGATCTGAGGTCTGGCGGCGCTCCCGCCTGCTCTTCCCTGAAGCTTCCAGAAGCCCAGATTCTCGGGTTCCGTCCCCCAAGCTCCATCTGGATTTGCACCAATTCTCCTCCTGGGCAGCTCAGGGGTTCCGAAGGCCAGAACCACTATGGGAACTTGTCCCCCACCCCCTTTGCTACTCCGGTTGCTGCAACTGCTAGTCTAATTCCTCCCACCGAACTGACCGGACCCGTACCGCCCGCTTTGCCGGCGCATCTGCTAAA